TTCTAGCTGTTATTTCAGAGATATTTTTCATGTATGGTAGAATAAATTTTCTTGTGGTCTTTGATGATATTTCTTTGTTGGTGTTGTGATTTGACTTTAAACACTTTTTGATGAAATTTTGTGGATAACCGTTCTTTCTGAAGACCGTTTGTAGGTACTTTTCTTCCATTCTTTTCAACTCTGGAGTGCTACAATGTGTTTGAACTCTTTTAAACAATGTCTGCACACAGTTTTGTTTGTGAGTAATTGGATTATTGCTAGTATAGTTGAGTATTTGATCTGTCTGCGTTGATTTTCATATACTTGTGTTTCTAAATCTCTTGTGTTGGTTCTCCTGATTAAGACATCTAAAAATGGGATTTTGTTATCTAATTCTTCTTCTATTGTGAATTTGATGTCTTCAAATATGTTGTTTATTAATTTATGGGTATATTCTAAATCATTTCTCTTAATTATTATAAATGTATCACCAACGTAACTTATCCGGATTTTCGGTTTAATTATAGGTACAGCTAATCTTTGCATAGCGGCTTCAGCTATTAACCCTGATATGGGCGATCCATTAGTTTCTTTATTTATTCATATATTTGAGTATTGAACTGGAAGTATGTTGTAAGGCATAATATTATGAGTTCTATCCAAATTGATAATTGCGTTTTTATGTTTTCATTACTATAGAGTAATTGTTGCACCTCTGCTAAATCTCTCCCGCAGAAATTTACTCACACAATTATTTGTGTATCATCTATCGGATATATAAATATGTATATATATTGTCTCTAGTTTTGAATAAACCTGGAATAAGAAGTAACGAAAACCAAAACTTGAGTATTCTTGGTAATTTGTGCGTTTACCACTACTGAAACACACACACACACAAACTGTGATTAGTATTGATTTTCAAATTGCCAGAAAAAATTTAGAATCCCAACTTCAACTGCACTGTCTACCCCAGTCTACATCTCTTGTTTTCCTTGTGAAATATATAACTTCAGTCTTCTGAAGTTTCAGTAGAAACGGTGTTGCTAGCTTCCCGACAACATTTCCTTCTTCAGCTGGCTAATTATTGGCTAGTAAGCTAGAAGAGGATTAGAAATGTGTCGGCAGGAAATCGAACCTGGATCATTTGCAGGGTTGCCGAAATTTATACTACTGAACCGTCGACAGACAATGGTAATTTGTAAATATTGTTTATTTAGTTTGCATAATAAAATCTTTATTAGAGGATGATGTATCGGTGGGGAGGGGGTTCTTTTTATTTCACCGTTTACAGCATTTTCAGCGAAAAACACTCGGGATTGATAAAATAATGCCCTTTCAATGTACTATTTGTTAAATTTTAGTTTGGTTATAAGATTGATCACGGGAATACTGGTTAGCCGCTTCGTCCTAGTTTAGGGCTTTTCGGAGTACGCACACACCATGGTTTGAACCCAGGGCCTTCTGGTTACGAGACGAGCTCGTAGACCTTTCAACGACTGTGATCTGACCCTAAAGCCTATGAATTCCAACTTCCGCGGATTCATGATATATACATATATAAAAGTATATTTATCGCAGCCGTCAGAGAGTGTCGTCCTGCTCTTACGAGCTCGCCGCTTAACCAAGACGTCCTTCGTTCGAAAACCCAGTGGGTGCGTGCTGATGACGAGTCCCAGGCAAAGCTGACAGAACAGCTAGTAGTTTTCCAGTGATCCTCTAACTGGTGTCAACTCGTCATCAAATCTGTAGACAATCAAATCCTTGCAAACCAACACTTAATAGTTAATTTAATATTGATACTTTTAAAGGTGAAAATAATAGAGGTTCGCACAACCTTCCCACAGCCTATACTTTCGCTGAATGGACATAAGTCTGAAATCAGAAACCATATGACAGTATATACTACTGATTGATAAAAGTAGTTGAAAACCACTCACTTCAACCCACAGTACTTGTTAGTAAGGCGAAACTATTGTGAGTTTACATCACATTCTGTGTTATATGCTAACAGTGAATTTGATTTTAAGACAAAGTTTTCTCCTCTGGTGTATTTTATAAGGAAAAAAACAGTCAACTCCTTAAACATTGAATAATCTTTAATTATAGTTTTCAAGCGTTGGTTAGCAAGCGTTCAATAGATTTCAAGTGTGAGCACTAAGTAAGATCAGCTAGAAAATCATTGATAACCAGGTAGTATTGGACAGCTGTTTTGTCCTAGTGAGGACTAACTTTTCATCAGTACTCACCGGTCACGTCATCCTGTAACCAGTATTTTAGGTTGTCATTTCCACTGAAAATTTTGGTATTTCACCTATAGTAAAACGTTCAGAAATATCTTGTCTTGAGTTGATGAATACGGTTAGATGATACTGCAGTATTTAGTGATTTAAACAAACGCATTACTGAAGTTCCTTGAAGAGTTATTTGTCTAACTAATGGTACTCGAAAGACAGACACATCGGTGTTTCAATCGTAGCATATTCACTTTTCACTCCATGACTCCTAAACCCTTTTAAGTTTACTAGATAAAAGTGATCTCACAAAAGAGAGAAAGGTTCAGCGTGAGACTAGTTCTCATGTTGTATAAAAAAACACTACCAGCACTACCAACACCACTGAAAATTCAAATCTTGAAGTCCTTTCTATGTTGCGGTTGGAACGCAAAACAATGGAAAAAGAGAAGGTGGAATGCATAAAATACCAATGAACTTTTAAGTTTCCTATAGTTTGGTTTGTAAGGATTAGTTATGTTTTACGAGCTGATCACGGACTGATATCAGTTAGAGAACCATTGAAAACCAGCAAGGAGTACTGGACAGCTGCTGTTTCATCCTTGTTTGGAATCATCGGCAGTACGACTTTTAAGTGGAGAGAAATGTTAGTTTTCGGTTTTATTTCATGTTTACTATGCAATCAATGCTTTGAATTATTCTCTTCGAATTTTACAACTCAGCAAGAAATGTAAGAGGAGCGGAATTTGAGTTTCTAAAATATACATGAGCCGAATTCTTATGAGACGTGAACCTAACAAACTTATTTTCTCCCATTCTTTGAGGTCCACTCCACAAACAATAAGGAATTTGTGTTAGCACCTTACTGCTTGTATATTTCCTTAGTGAAAAAACCTTTTGCGATGAGATTAATATTTATGGTTATTGTTGTATATTTTACAAATTATATTCATAAATTTGTATTCCTGTTAAATAGTCGGTTTTAAAGTGATGGGTTGATTGTAATTTCCTTGGATTCTCAATAGATCTAGTCACAGATTGACATCATGGTGAGCACTGGACATCTCTCTATCCCTAGTCTTAGACAATTCAGCAGGGTATACTCATGATCCGAATCAGGAATTACTTCAAGAACTTGATTTCAAAGTAGATTTCATCATCAACTGGCATTGAGGGATCGATGGGGTCCCGAGTAACCACTTCTGGAGAATCCAGAATTAGAGCGAAATAGCTACTTAGTATTCTGTGATTTTTTTGGTCGGAGGATTTCATCATGAGCTGACATAAGTCAGAGAACCATTGAAAAACCATCACGGAGTACTGGACAGTTATTTCAACCTAGTCTGAGACTCTTCGTCAGTACGCACTCACCCCACGGTTCGAACCCTGGACCTTTTGGTTATGAGACGAGCTCGTGGACCCGATCCAATGGCCAGCCCACGAATTGTAACTTCTGTCAATTCATAACATAGCGCGACCAATTCGCAATGTCTTCTTCAATGCGTTACCGCCTCACCTTCAACCTGTTTCTCTGCTGATGTCAGCTCATGATGAAAATCCTTCAACCAATCAAACAAAATCCTTACAAAAACCAATACTTGAAATTTCTTTGATTTTCACCGGTTCTTCAAACAATATCGTCTACTAAGGAAATCAACTTTGTAAGGAGTTTTTCCAGTTTGATATTTCTCTTAAGTTCTGAAACATAAATTCTAGTTAAATCCCTCAGTTGATTTTATTCCTACGATATTTAATTAAAAAAGAATAATAAAACGTAATTAGAGTCAAACAAACTGCGACTATGCTGAGAAGCAAACAGAAAAAAAAATATTTCCGTGTAAAAATTTACAATTTTTTTTGTTTTATTGTTTAATATGAAATATTCAGATAAGTTTTCCGCCCGCCCATCGTTTTCCCTCATTTTTGATACCGAGAAAGTTCTGTTCTGCGGTCGGCAGTTGGGTTAGGAGTATTTTTCTTATTTTATAATCTTGTTTTTTATGCCTTTTTTACTCAACAAGCGCTAATGCTCTTAATCGATACTTTTACTGGATTATTTATGTTTTCACTAATTAAAAACTTAATTACTTTCATCTGCTTTCTGGACCACACTGATGAAATATTCAGTTTGCATAAAAGAATATATAATCAAACAGGAATGTTCAAAGTGACTGAAATAAACACTGCAAGTAATACAACATAGACCCTTTTATTTGTAAATTACGACTTTTCGGAAAACAAGTAAACTATTAGTGAGATTGTAATTCCAAGGAAATTGAATATCACCGGTACATATTATGTGGTCGTGTAAAAACTTTAAATTGTAGGATTAGTTATTGAATTTTAATATCCTCTTTTTATAAACATTTTTCGATTCCTTCTGTACCGACTAGAATAAACGCTTTCATGTTGAGATGCAATTTCAGTAGGGAAGGTGTTGCTATTTTACAGAGTTGGGTTGCTAGTCTCACATCCAACTTGTCGTCTGTTGCGGACTTAATGCCGGTTAGTGCGTTGGCCCGGAATCGAACCCGTAGCATGAGAGTGAGTGACTGGCATTCTACTGTTGAACCACAGATACAAGTTTACAAACTGAGAGCCTTCTTGGTTATTAGGTGGTTAAAAAGAGAACCGGACGATTTAGCTATTCAGCGTTCAGTCCCCAAGCCTCCAGTCTGCACTCTTCTATGGATACATAATTAACCTGATAACTATTGAAGACGGTTGAAATATTTTCTGATATCGCTTTAACATTCTTTTACAATTCTTTTTTCTTCCACAAATCAGGTTAATGGTCAAGATTTGAGGAATGCAACTCATGAAGAGGCTATCCAGGCATTTCAGAAAGCTAAAGAGCCAATTATTGTAGAGGTGGCACGTCGGGATCCAAATGCTGAAACAGTTCAAAAATCAACGGGGAATACAAACTCCACCACCAACTCGAATAATAACAATGTCAATAGTTTGAACAAATGTTCTGTAGGCATTCAAACTGATCCAAGTACAGCTGAAGCGACATTAGCTGCAATGGCTGCTGCAGCTCTAACAACTGAAGATATACGTACGGCGTTGGGCATGAGACATCCAGGATTAACGAGGTATGTATTTTTATATATTTAGAAAGGGCTAGAATTTCGATATGCTTAGGCGAATATTCTTTCACGGTGCACACTCAGTAGTGCTTGTTAGCCGACTGTACTTGATCTTAACATCAGACGCTTGTGTCTCTCTTTCGGGGCTGAGCCAATCAGTGGTGTACCCTGTCTAACTTAGTTCAGACAACTATATAACTGCGTGATTTACGAATGACGAACTCTATTCCCTGTGTATTATTTCATGTATGGAAGTGGTTTCTACGTTACACTGTTATTTTCAAATTGCCAGCAATTTCCCTATGGTTTAGATTCTGACTAACCGAGACAGATTAAGTAAAATACACTGCCAGCTGAGCTGGATGGTTTTCGACTGCCTATATCAATCAGCTGTGCTATTGGGCAATGACAATTGTGTCATACATAGTGATCTGAATATTTCGGATTTTCATTCTGAACTATAGTGAAATTTCAATTCAAACTGTGTTGTCCGTTAACTAGATTTGAAATGGTTAGAGCTTATTCAACTCTTTAAGTTAAACGAATTCGAACTTGATTTCGAAAGGCACAATTCGAAGCAAGTGAAGCACTTGTCCTGGGTTTCGAACACATCTCTCTTGTTGGCTAGCTGTAATCGTTGGTGTAAGTAGTAATCAGTAATAATCATTCTCATCTAGTCTAAATCATCTACAATAAAGTCCAAATGCAGCCAATCAGCCACAGATCAAATTATGATCTGATTATCTTTAAGGCTGACAGTACAAAAGTAACAACCTGTGTAAGTGACAAGTTGCTTTAACATTTTTACCAAATGTTTTCAATGCCTCAGATACAAAAATGTTACACAGTGACGTAGTTAGTAGATTACAGGCAAAGAGGTTACTTGCAACATCATGATTTGTGTGGATATCATGCAAAACTATAACGATCATGTATTCTTTTATAGTAGGACATCACCGAGTCTACTGAAAGCCAATTGGAAAAAATTTTGGTCTAAGGGACACAGTACTACCAATTCAACTGTGATTCAAAATATTAACCCCACAAACTTCATTAGGGTTTCCCTTATTACTTCCTTAGGTCCCCAGTGAAACATAGGCCTTCACTGGCATGTCCCGATTTCACTACATTTTCTGCAATCGTTCTAGCTTACTTCTTACGAGCTATCATCTCCTTCACACATTATTTGCTCCATGTCATTATTGGACACATTTAACTCGGTGTTTCTGACTCGGGTTTTAGTCAAAAGTTTGGCGTGTTATGTCACTCAACAGTTATTTCAGTATATGTCCAATCCATCTTCATTTCCTTCAGAATATTCGTTGGGTGACCGTTTCTTGGTTGGTTCGTTGTCAGAGTTCCCCGTTGCTTGTACTTTCTGGCCACCTAATCTTTAGTATCGATTGGAGGCAGCCGCTGATGAAAGTCTTCATTGGTTGTTCGAGTGCCAATTTTCTGAAATATATGAATGAGCTGACTTGAAATTAGTGCTGAGTATTTGGGGTCTTGTTTCACATGCTCAGTGCAGTAGATTTCCACAGTGATTTCAGAGTACTGAAGGTCTACCTTGATCTTTCGATTCTGGTTTTAACATCCTCACTTGTTCCTCCTGTAGTTGAAACGATGCTGCATAGGTAAGTGGAAGAGATGACTTCCTTCAGACCAATTCCAATAATGGTTACTCACGCTTGTAGTTGATGGTTAAGTACTTTCATCACTTCCTTCTTCACTATGTCCCGTCTTCACTGCTTCTTCCTCCCACTTAGTGGCTCTCACCTGTAGGTATTCTACGTTATGTGACATTAGACACAAATCATCTGTGTCTTCGAGGGTCTTTCTGTTGGTTCAACGCTGGCCCATCTTGTCGCTGCCCATGGACTGTTGTTATTAAGGTTTCAAATGCCATATAATGTTGCCTATGAAGAAATAAACACAACAAACGACTGGATCACATGGACATGGTGTGGTAAATATGGATATTTTGATGTGTTATGAAACTCATAAATGATTACTGTGATGCTGTGTGCGTAGTCTGGATCGCACCCTAGACTTATGCATATGCATAGATACACGTGCTTTTCTCTCCACGATAAATTTTTTTTAACCGTGACATCAATCAATTTAGTACCAGTTACACAAAAAATCATCACTAATTACTGTGATACTGAGTAAAAATGGAAAAACAAATTTAAAGAAGGCGACTGATGGTTATTCTCTAGTGAGACTGTGAATTTTCTGGGGATTCGCTATCATTTTAATGTAGATTCTTCACAGACTAAATCATTCAGAACCAGAGAACACTAGACGACTGTTTCGTTGTAGAAGTGTGCATACGACACCTCACCGTTAGGGAATGAATCGAAAACATTCAGGTTACCAGATCATTTTGTTGACCATTCAGGCACATTACTTGGAGTTAATTGGCCTGTGTATGTCTTATCATAAATGTCTAGAATTTTTTCGAGAGTAATGTTGATAAATCTTTTTTTTAAATGATGGACTTTCATTTTTTATTCTTACGAGTTGATCACGGATTGATATCAGTTAGAGAACCATTGAAAACTAGCAGGAAGTACCGGGGAGCTGTTTCATCCTAGTTTGGGACTCATAGGCAGTACGCACCCACCGCCAGGGTTCGTACTGAGGACCTTCCGGTTACAATGCAAGCTCGTAAACCATTCAGCCACTGGGACCCGATTCAGTGACTGAATGGTATACCGCCTTGTATTGTAACTGGAAGGTCCTGGGTTCGAAACCCGCAGTGTGGGTGCGTACCGCCGATGATTCCCAAACTGGGATGAAACGGCTGTCTGGCAGTACTCCTGTGCTGGTTTTCAATGATTCTCTAACTGATATCAATCCGTGATGAACTCGTTAAAGCAGATTTAATCCTTATAAACCAACTATAGAAAATTTTATCCTGCTTTCTTCCTTGCCTTGTGCTTTTCTTTAGTCCATAAAATAAATTATAGTACTGTCTCACTTCTCTCAACTATTTCTAAACTTTCTTTCATTAGACAAAGGTGAAGTTAACCTCAGATGAACAGATGAACGCACATATACACTTGACTTCATTAATTATAATTATAAATTAAAAATATTAATTCATTTCTTCTACAGGAAAAGAAGCTTACACATTTGGAATAATTTTATCAAACAGATTTATCTAACTTGACTTCGTATTTTTTGCCAGTCATTCTGATTTGTTAATCCCACTTAGGCTATTTCATTGATGACCTATCATACATCTAAGCACATAGTAAGCGAATTGTATTCTCCTGTAATCGACTGACCTTTTTTAGAACATAAAAATACACTTGTTAATCATTGTTAGTGATAATAATATTATTAAGATTTCAAATGATTTATATCATGTACTGCGTGTGATGATTGACGGTTAAATGGAGATCAGCGTTAGTAGCCTCATGTAGATTAAAAAAATGCTACTTTATCAGCTGAGTTTCATGACCTAGGTATTAACCAGTTCTTCCTTCCACTGTAAACGTCACTGCCAACGCCTAGCTGTTTTGTGGATTATATTTATGAATATATTATTTATCCCTTGGTTTCAGCAGCACGTCTCCATTTTCTTCCTGTTCCCCAAACTAATCTTTGACCAGCCCAACGACTGCCGATAAACTTTTATCTCCTCTTCACACGATCTTCTATATGTCACTTTCAGACTTAAGTCCACCTCGTCGTTTTCCATTCCGGTTCTCCTTGAGCGATGGCATGAAGTGCCACTCCACTAAACGGTCTCTTCAGCGAGTGTCCAATCCATCTCCATTTTATTCTGAATATTTATTGAGCACTGTGTTCTCGATTGGTTTGTTGCCAGAGTTTCTTGTCACTAATTCCTCTGGACCATCTGGTCTTCAGTATGGAGCCAGCGAAGGTAGCTGTTGATGGAAGTCTGCAGTAGTCTGTTGGAAATGCTTTTCGTGAAGCGTAGTGCAAGTTTCTGACTCATATAGGATAACTGACAGTGATTGGTGTCTTCTTGTTACCGGTTGGTTATGTTCATCCCCCTAAGTTCTTTTGAAGTCCTGTCTTTGCTGCTTCTTCTGCCAGCTTGTCACCTAAGTCTTCGAATTTATGTGACCTTAGACATAAACCGCCAGCGAAGTCCCGATGTTCTAGAGTCTCCTTATAAATACAACGTGTCCCTGCCTTCTCACTCCCCGCTCACTGTCTTCCGCATGATCCAGTCCACTAAAATTATAAATATCTTTGTTGTCAGTAGGCAGCCAGCTTGTCTAACTCCTGTCTCCATTTCTTAGGCTTCGTTCAGTTCACCGTTACGGATCACTTGATATGTAGCATTGTCATATAGGTTGTTGAATGAGGTCGATAAAAATTTGGGCCATTCCATAGTGTTCAATTAGTTTTGTGAATTAGTGATATGTAACTCTCCCTTTTATCAATGCACATTATATATTATGTCCAGTGAAACATTAAAAATAATGCTGTATTGAACATATGCAATCAATAGTATTTCCAAGATTGAATCCTTATGATATGGACTACACAATTAATTTAATTAATCGCCAATGATTTTCCTGATTGAAGTAGACTGGATAATGCAACAAACAGAGGGCAATGAGGAAACAGGCATAAAATGGACCGACACAAAATACTTGGAGGATCTGGACTTCGCCGATGATATATGTCTGACTTCACACAAACTGAAAGATATACAAGCGAAAAGCAACAAGTTGGCAGAAGAAGCATCCAGAGAAGATAGGACTTCAGGTGAACATAGAGAAGACAGAGGTGATGAAGATTCCTGGACAAGATCAACAACAGACAACAATCAGCATAAATTGGAGAACTCTGAAAGAAGCGACCTCCTTCACCAACTTACCTAAGAAGCATCGTTTCAACTACAGGTGGACGGAACTGACGAGGGTATCAAAGTGAGGATCGGGAAAGTAAGGCATGCTTTCATTATTCTCAAGTCTGTGTGTGGGAGATCAACAGCAATCAGCGTGAAAATGAAAATATTA